ATAATATACGCTATAGGGGGTTAAGGATGAGATATACGATTTCCACAGTAAGTATTCTTAAGAATTATTAATCATATTCGAACGAAGTTGTCTATAACAATACCAACCAAAAAATTAATTTACACTGGGTGCGTTCCAATATATAACCCAGCATACTGGCCAGTGCTGATGACGTCATAAATCGACGCCATACTGTTGATTCGTTTCGAAATATACTGGCCAGTGAGTTGATGTTAAATTGACGTCATATTGAGAATAGTGTTTGCGCTTGTTTGCAACAATTTTGCTCCAAAAGTTATTAAAGTTTCTTACAATAAAAAATTCCTCAAAGTCTGATACACATACGCCCGTTTGAATAGTCACACTTGTCTCACCAGTGTAATATGGTGGCACACCAGTACAATATGGCGTCGATTCAAGACGCCATCAGCACTGGCCAGTATGCTGGGTTATATTTCGGAACACACCCACCATAATCTAAACATTTATTTCTATTTTCATTGCATGAACAGTAAGTGGCGTCACATATTATGGTAGTTACGTAATTTATTAATACTTTAAAAATTGGTATTGTATGCATTTTCACGTGTATGTAAATCTAGGACACTTTATATATGGACAGTCTAATTAAAGAGCAATTTCAGATTACCTATTTTATATTTATGTCACAGCAATGACTACAAGGCTGCCAACATCAAATATGAATCGGTTAAGGTTAAATGCACGATTGGAAAATAAATACGTACCGTTTTAGAAATGGTAATATAACAACGATATATTTTTATTAAACAATGAGTAGGTACCTATAAAGAAACTGTTGACCAGCCATGTCATTAATTAAATAAATCTGCCTACCTTTGACTAAACAATTATTCTTAACAATTAATTATAATATTCATTCATTTGTAAACGGGAACTAGAGGTTATTCTAAAATAATGGAACCACCATCAGACACTACATTTTACGAAGAAATGCATAAGAAAAAAGAAAATTGTTTTAAAGAGTTAAGAAATTTAGAGAAAGAAAGCTTAACACTAAGCTTTGAAATTGCACAACAACAGATGAAATTTGCTGCTTTGGTAAGAAAACATCGTCAGTTAGAAGATTCTTTTAATATTGAAACACCAATAAATGAACAAACTAAAGAAAACTGTTCCTTAATCAACGATCCAGAAAATGAAAAGTAAATAAAATACACATCTCTAATATTAAAGTTACAAATTATAATATGACAGTTCTACAATTTAACCGTTACGTTTTCTATTATTTAAGTTAAATTACTTTTTCAGAAGTACCTGCTAATAATTTTTCAGAAAGTAAATGATGTGTTAGTAATGTATTAAATATGTTTTAATTATGCTTTTGATTAAAGTTTCTTATAAGAAACAATATTTTTTATTTTGGTGTAAAAAACTGTAAATTTGAATTAAAATTTTCTCATTGGTTGATCCATTGATTGTTGCCAATTGCCTATATATAGTTAAACATTCTGTGACTGCCTACTTCTATGTTTGTTCAGTTAAAGTTTTAGTGTCGCGTTGTGTACTTGGCCTTTAATTTGGCGAATAGACAAATTTAAAAAATATGTGACAATTTGTGTGCGAACAAACAAGAGAAAAGGGAGTTTCTTCACGTGTGGTGAGTACTTATTACTTATTATGGTTGGGCATTAAGGTTAACTTATGAGAAAAATATATGCATTAGGTATTGTCACAACAAACAACTTGTACCTGATTTTTAAAAAAGTTTTAAATTGTGATAACTTACAATTTACTTAGTAAAGTTAATAGGTATAATAATTTCGTGCTGTTTAAAGGTATACCAATTTATTATGGTGTAGAAGTACTTTACATTTTTCTGATTAGGATAACTTGGGTTTTTGTTTTAAATAATAATGATAATAACACAGAAGAGTTATCCTTAGGCATTTTTACCGTAATCGTAAGTTATTATAACCGGATGGCCACCTTTTGAAACGTANAATGAATACACATTGCTTTTTTATTGCTTAAAGGTATGACTTTATTAAAATTGATTAAATGTAATTTATGCAATAGTTGTAATGCACATTTATCTCATTCTTTTACATAACAACATAAATACATAAATATGTATCTTGTTATGAATAAACTGGATTTTTCTTACTTACTTTTTTACTTAATCAGTGGTATCATTTCGTGTTTGATGGATAAAAATCGTAAAGAGAACTTAAAATACCCTTTTTTCTTTCAGGAAACTAGTCCTGCAACAACAAGCCATGGTGCTCCTTTGATAACAAAAGATGCATCCCTCACTGTAGGGTTGAGGGGTCCAATTCTTCTTCACGACATAGCGTATGTGGATGAAATGGCTCATTTTGATCGTGAACGGATACCCGAAAGAGTGGTCCACGCAAAAGGCGCTGGTGCCTTTGGTTATTTTGAAGTTACCCATGATATAAGTAAATACACGGCTGCAAAAGTTTTTGACCAAGTTGGTAAAAAAACTCCGGTTGCTGTGCGTTTTTCTACGGTGGGTGGTGAATCTGGTTCAGCAGATACAGTTCGGGATCCCCGAGGATTTTCTGTTAAATTTTATACAGAAGATGGTAACTGGGACTTGGTCGGTAATAATACTCCTATTTTCTTTATTCGCGATCCCATATTGTTCCCCAATTTCATTCACACTCAGAAGCGAAACCCTGCAACCCATCTTAAAGATGCAAACATGTTTTGGGACTTCATTACTTTAAGACCAGAAACCACCCACCAAATCACATACATGTTTTCTGATAGAGGAATTCCCGATGGTTATAGACACATGAACGGTTATGGATCACACACGTTTAAGCTCGTAAATGCCGACAGCAAATCAATTTACTGTAAGTTTCATTTCAAAACAGATCAAGGTGTCAAAAATTTGGATGTGGACAAGGCTGCCCGTTTGGCTTCGTCTGATCCAGACTATGCAATTAGGGATTTGTACAATGCTATTGCAAACAATAACTATCCTTCATGGACTTTACACATACAGGTTATGACCCATGAACAGGCAAAAAACTCCAAATTAAATCCATTTGATGTTACTAAAACTTGGCCTCATTCTGATTATCCTCTCATACAAGTGGGAAAAATGGTGCTTAACAGGAACCCCGAAAACTATTTTGCAGAAGTAGAACAGATTGCTTTCTGTCCAGCCAATATGATTCCAGGAATTGAACCATCAATGGATAAGATGTTGTTAGGGCGAATGTTTTCATACAGCGACACACAAAGGTACCGCTTGGGACCAAATTACCTTCAAATACCAGTTAACTGTCCCTACAAAGTTCGCAACTATCAAAGGGATGGTTTTATGGCTATTGACAATCAAAAAGGCGCTCCAAACTACCATCCTAATAGTTTTGGTGGTCCAACTAACGATGCAAGAGCTAAATCTCTTGCTCCACCTTTCGATTTATCTGGAGATGTGCAAAGATTTGATACAGGGGACGAAGATAATTTCAGTCAAGCAGGAACTCTGTACAGAAATGTTTTAGATGAAGCAGCAAAAGAAAGATTAGCCTCAAATCTTGCTGGAAGTATCAAAGATGCTGTAGAATTTATTCAGCAACGTGCTGTTAAGAATTTTACACAAGTAGATGCAGATTTAGGAAAAAGATTAACTGAAAAATTGTCATTGTATAAACGCGCAAATCTTTGAATAGTGATGGATGTGAAACAGGATAAGTTGGGATCTCGCACAGGTTCTGGGACTGCATTTTAATACAATTATAACTTTTATAAATAATTTAATAACGATTTTAAGTTGTATATTTTGTGATAATAAATATGTTTGTATTTTATTCGATTAATCTTTAATTTATCAACCACATTCA